TGCAATCGAGATGAAGATCTTCAAGAACGACATGTTCTTCCTCGAATAGATGGTGAAATACAACGCGTTTGGTATCACGATTTGGGAAGGGACTCTCGATGTTTGGTGATTTTGTTAGAGGTAGGAACAACTCCTGATGGTGTTCCGAATATTCTATTCGAAAGAAGTTACGAAGGCCTCAACAATGATCAAATAACTGGGTGGTCTTCCCGCCTTGGTATGGGACACTACCGATGGTTGAGAGGCCCTATCAATCATCTTCGAAGAGAACAGAGATCAGAGTATGTGGCGAATACAATTCGTCGCATCATAGATTTCCTCAACATATGATGACCGCTCCTCGTGGAACTCGTCTCTAGAAGGGGGGGTAATGTCACGCCCATAATCATGTAAGCTAATAATTACATATAGAAATAGGTAGAAGTAAGTAAAAGTAGATAAAAGTAAGTTAATTCTATAATATTTAATATAGAAGCTTCCTAGAAACTTCCTAGACGCTGCTTTGACTTCATAGGTGTCTTTAATTGACTTTTTGGATTAGAAACGTGGTCAACAAGTTGGCCATGTGCCACACATGTTGTTAGCTTGAAGATCAAGCTAACTATGTGGCCCACACGTAGAAAAACTTGCCTTGTAAGTCAAGGCATGTGTCCTACAAAGTCAACACATATTGGAGGTCCTATAGAACGTCGCCACGTAGCTCCTAATTAGATAGTATATATAGAGACAAGAGTGAAGGCTTCTTCACTCTTGTCAACTCTTTTCTTGCTTCTAGTCCAGGTTCAAGAGTCTTTAGTTTCTTGTCTTGTGGCAATAGCCATTCTAGTTTCCTTTTAATATACCTACTTGTTTATATTTTGACTTATTATATCGAGATAGCCTTTTTGTGTATATTTTCCCTCATCGAGTCTTTGTCCTTAACAATCTTTCGACTATAAATCTCGACATAGTGTAGATCTAAAAGCTTGATGATGGATGTTTGAAATATGTCATCAATGAGATTTGATTGACATTGATATAATATTATTGATGCTCAAATGGGTTAATGTTTGTTTATTCACATACACGTATGTATATATACATATATATATATATATATATATATTAAAGCAAGTTCTTCTTTGGGAGGTTTGTTACATATATCACCAATGGATATATATTATGACTGCTATTGAAGTGGTAGAAGCTCTAAAAAATTATTATTGATTTTAAGAGTTGGAGCATAGAAAGTATTAAATATTATAAAAATAATATTATTGATATTGATCATGTGCACTTTGCAAGAGTCGTTGTACAATTAGAACATGCAAGCAATGTCATCTTTTGCATAGTGTAATAGATGCACAATAACATATTATATTGTCTAAGACATCAAGCTCTTGTAACCACTACCGAATGTTGGATTATTTAAACATGTATATATATGTGTGAAAGAAAAGAAGAAGGAAAAAATAAAATAAAATAAATTAAATTAATACAAATTTTATAGATTATCCAAGTAATTGATTTGAAATTTATATTAAAACAACCAAAATCATAATATATTTTTGTATTAGTATGTAAATCATAAAAAATTATAAAAAAAAAAAATGTAATTTTTTATAATTTTAAGAAATCATTTCTAAAATTTATTAAAATTTTATCAAAAATAATATTATTTTTTTCTAAAATATTTTTAAAAAATTGAATTATATTTGAAATAGAATGTTTCTAATATTTTTTAATTGTACAATCTTAAATATCAAATCAACACCTAAAAACGTTTTTACTGATTTGATAAGCAAGTAAATATTACAAATATTATAAAAGTTCAATAAATACAATTATAAAGATACTATAATTATATTACTAAATTGAATTTAAATTATAATTAAATTATTCATATGATCTATGTCGAAATTAATTTATTAAGAAGAAATTACATGAATAAGACTTTAAATATATTTTTAAAAAATACTATAAAAATATAAAAAAATACAAAGTTGGACACTAAATCTCTTAGTTAGCAATAAATGATATTTTTTTTTTAATAAAATAAATCTTATTTTTATTTATATACTCATTTATTTATATATATATATACATTTTTTTAATAAAAAGATTTATGCAAAAATATATATTTATATATACAAAATCAATCCACATTTCAAAACCATCATCACACCCGCCCCTCCTCTCCCATCTTTTGTCTTTGTTCTTACTGTTTTTAGGTCCTATCTCCCTCTCATATCTCCATTTTTAGCATCCATTTTTTATCCTTATTTTTAGCCCTCATCTCTCATCCTTATTTCCAACCTTTATCTCTTATCTATGTTTTTAGTCCTTGTCCTCCATCTATATTCTTAGTCCTCGTCTCCCATCCATATTCTTAATCCTCATCTTCCATCCATATTATTAGTCCTTGTCCTTCATCCCTATTTTCACCTCTCACTAAGAAATAAGATTAGAATTTACACACTTTCTATACTCTATTAATATAAGAGCTAAGTTATGACTACATCTAGTCCAAACTTAAATAATATCTAAGATTGATTTAATTGCTTCATGAAAGAATATGTTATCAAACTCTTTCAAGCTTTTCATGAAGTCTTTTCTGATGGTAGTTGTGGCATATCACATACTATTATTGTTGATCCTTATTTCTTTTACCACAAGACCATTAGATTTTTTTTTTTTCTATTTTCAATCTCTTCAAGCAATTTCTCCTCTTCATTTTTAATTTCTTCAAATGGCTTCTCTTCCTCATTTTCATTCTCTCTTGGCAACATCTCTCTTCCATTTTTGATCACTTCTAGCAACTTCACTTCTTCCCTACCAATATCTTCAAGCAACTTTATTTTCTATTTTTTAATCTCTTTAAGTGACTTTGCTTCCACTATTGGTACTTTCTCTTTAGCTATTTCAAAAACTTGATCAACAAGCATTTCATTATGAGTATCACCACCACCATTAACCCTCGTTGACTCTGCATGTATTGTTTTGGCACACTTTCTTTTATGAACTTCTCCTTCTCCACATTATTGTAAAATTCACTTCTATATTTTAAAACTTCATTTTTTTTTCAATGTGAGATTGAGCTTCTTCACAATCAAAAATATGACAAGGGACATGAGTTGAGAATAGAAAGGGGAAACAAGTGTTGAGAATGGAGACATGGGAGGAGAAGGAGGTTTTGGAATGAGACTAGAATATGGGTTGAAAACAAAGAAGGTATAACGATGGTTTTTATAGGCGGGTTGATTTGGTAAAAGCCATGGTCGATTCAACATTCCTTTATATATATATATATATATATATATACACACATTCATACAAAAACTAAGTACTTAAAATAGTAATAACATCTTATATAAAGATCTTATGATCTTTGCCATTACTCAACACTTTCATGGAAGGCTCAAGATCAAAACAAAATGTTCTTTTTTAATTATTCTTTTACATATTTTTTTATTATATTCTACCACATCAGTTAAAATTTAATAAATGAGCTCGTCATTTATTAAAGAAAGCATCTATCAGATACGTACCACTGTCCTGGACTCACTGACACTTGTCAGAATACATGACAAGTCTACGAAGAAATCTGGTCTTCTTGAGGATAAGTGAGGAATATTCCAACTAAATGGATTTGTATTGTCATCTGAATTCAATTAAATATTTAGCTTTTACTTAGCTTTTACAAAAATTGATGTTTTCATTTTTTGGAGATGATTACTAATTATATTTGATTGTATATGTAAATTTTATATTAAATATGCATAAAATAAATAAAAAACTCAAATAAAAACTTACATATAATTTAATTGATATTTTAATTAATTTAATTTGCTTACACTAAATTTACTTTCTATGTAATTTTTAAAAAGCTTGTTTAGAATTTTAATATATATATATATATATTAAATATATTTAAAAAAATACAAAAATATGTCAAATACATGGTGGAATTTTTGAAACCAATTGCAATTTTGTAAACATTTCATTTGAAAATATCTTGTGCAATAATTGCACAAGATATTCTTGTACATTATCAAATCCTCTCTCATGTGTGTGTATATATATATATATATATATGTATATATATTTTTCTTTTTTCCATTGTTGAAATCTAAAGTCATGAAGCATTATGTATGAATGTATGTATGTATATATATGTATATATATATATATATATATATATGTATAATTTATATTATTGAATTGTAAAATCTTGAAGCATCTTAGAATAGTGGATGAATTTACATTTATATTTGTACATAATATTCAAATTTAATCTATTTAATTAATTTATTTTTTAAATATTTTTTTAATTCACAAACTTCTTGGTTTTACTTCATTTTCCATTTGACATCATATATGCTTCTAAAAACTACATGTGAACGACTAACTGAATTAAGCATGTAAACTAGTTACTTTATGGATCTAATTTTTAATTTTTAAATTTTCTTCAATTCGAACAAAGGAAGACCAGTAGATGAGTTTAATATGCAAAATAGTGTCATTTTTAGATCTAAATTTGTTTAGGAGACAAGAAGATGTTACTTTGTTTCATGGCACAAAAACATATGGATTTTTTTAAAAAACAAATTATAATATCCAATTTATTTCTACATCATGGACATCATTTATTTAATTATTTTCAAATGTCAACATTATAGAAACCTATGCATTTATTTATTTCTATGCATGCATACAAATAATAATGCATCTAAATCAACACCAGTGAAACAACTGTAAATAGCGACCCATCTGGAAAATTCCAACAATGGAAAACTGGAGCACGGCCTCCTTGGAGAGTAAACCTCCGATTCCAGATAGAACACGTCGCAGAGATTCGACGACCGCATTAAATGCTCTTCTAAGACTCCAATTCCAGATGGAGCGTGTTTCCCAGATCCCATGACCGCATGGAATTGGCTTCCAGGAGGAGAATGTTCCAGGCGGAATTTGGTCCTTCTGTATATGGAATTCCACACAGGATGTCCGACTCTCCCGAAACCCTAATCCAGGAGGAGCCCTGTCGAACGTCGACGATCGAAGCCATGGTACACTGGATGAGTTATTGATCTATCGCAGGCTCTCGCCGTGTTTTTTGCTGGTGATGGGATCGGAGTAGCAATTCTGTCACCTTCGATCGTTGTGCGGAAGCGCTTTTTCTGACCCAAACTTTGGCTATGGGGACCCCCATGAAGGGCACTCCCAAGGAGCACGGCTTCTACATGCCTGCGGAATGGGAGCTTCACGCGCAGACTTGGATGGGATGGCCGGTGGGTTCATTCGCAATCTTTTGCAACTTTACCCACATTTTAATTTTTTTCGATTTGTTTTTAATTCTGTTAATGTATCGTGAACTGCGATCGCGTGAAGATCTCATGTTTTTCCACATGATAGTCTCATTGTGGTTGGATTGTGTAACCTTGTTGTCTTTTTTGGTTTTCTCATGGTTAACTGCGCGTCTAGGATGCACGCACGCGCCCCTAGAAGCACCGGATTCAGGATGTTTGTTGGTTCTGTGGTAAGTTGTGGCCTTTGAATGGGAGACTTTCCTTTGTGGTTCACTCAGGAACGTGAAGATAACTGGAGGGAGAAAGCAGTGCATGCTCAGCGGGCATTCGTGGAAGTGGCTACAGCGATATCGGAATTTGAGCCTGTGACCGTATGCGCTACTGGATCCCAGGTTGTTTTTCTCACACTCGTTTGATGTGTTTCTTTCCTGCTTTCTTTGAGGTGCTTTATAGATTGGTCGTTGTTGCCTTTCTGCTCTTTGGTGTATGAAATTTCACACAAGTAGAATTTTCTGTGCCTCGCTTAGTTTGATGACGGTGAAGCACTCGATGAAATGAACTGCCTCCGAGGAATTTTACTGTTTAATGAATTCGACTAAAGTTATCTTAGAAGGTGGGCTCTGTATTGTTGATCATCTCTGATTTGAGACTATCATGTGGAAAATGGCCAGTGGGAAGCTGCCCGCAGTCAGTTGCCACCAAACGTAAGGGTTCTGGAAATGAGTATGAACGACGCTTGGTTCCGAGACACTGGACCTACTGTAAGTCGTAGAATCATCTTCGTCAATTTCACTCTCATGGAGGTGTTCTTGTCTTCATTTCATCCTCGTGGTTTTTGCTGTTTTGCTCCTATCTATAATATTATATTAACTTTGCGCACAGTTTGTAGTGCTCGACAATGTGGAGACTGAAACAGAAAGTATCAGAGAAGTTGCAGGCGTCAGGTGGACTTTCAATGCTTGGGGGGGTATGCGCATAATCCATTTTACTGTCTATTTGTAAGAGACCTCAAATTGCCCATTTAATTGTATGGAACGTCATCAAAACATCGATGAAAGATTTGTTAAGCAGTAGGTCTCTGTAAATTGTTTCTATCAAGTTGCAGCATTAGCTGTTGATGTTATGGTATATGACAATCATTTTTTGGTCTCATTGGAATCACTCAAGAAGTTAAGAATTGTGTATCTGCTTCAGGAAAAGAAAATGGATGTTACGATGATTGGACCTTAGACGCGCTTGTTGCTCGGAAGGTGGGCTACAATATTGATGTTCCTACAATTCTTAAATTTATAGGGATTAATATATTGCTTTCAGTTAATGGATAAATTCATCACTTTTGTCTCGGCTTTTGAAGCGCTATAAAATGTGTTCATTGTCTTGTTAGTGCAGCAAATAGTGAAAATGATTATCGCTAGAGAGGTATCTGTTTGTTGTGGCAAGGGTTGGCCGTGCTTCTATTTTTTACAAGAGGCAGTGCTGATTGATGCCTTCAAGTTGGTACTACTTATCAATTATACATAATTATGTCACTCGTTACGACGTGAGTTGCCTCAGTACTCACTTCAGTGGTCTAGAGGTTTGTTGTAGATCTTAGATGCAGAGCGTGTTCCTCAATTTTCGCAACAGTTTATACTGGAGGGTGGCTCTATTCACGTGGATGGAGAAGGTAAATGAATTTTTCATGTCAAGTGCACGGTTAGATATATTTTCAGCTTGGATGTTGTCTTAACAAACATGAGTGAGCATGCTCATACGGTTCAGTTGCACAGTCTTACTCCTAGTACTGTGTTATGCAGGGACATGTTTAACAACTGAAGAGTGCCTGCTTCATCCCAATCGAAACCCACATCTGAATCAAGGTGAAATAGAGGAGCAGCTCAAGCTTTACCTGGGAGTCGAGAAGGTGATTTGGCTGCCCCGTGGTCTTTACGGTATTTTCAATCCTCCTTTAGATTGGATTTTGGGACGGGTCTGCGATTCCAGAATGGTTGGCCTGGTTGCTGGTAGATTTTTTATTTTATTTTATTTTGCTTTATTTTATTTTATTGTGAACTCTTCTCATATATGACTTTTTGTCTACCGGAAAAAAACTTGAAAGGAGAGCTTGGAAAGTAACCGCACGAAATAGACTGGATCAGCTGTGAATAAGACATATCCTGCATTATACGCCTCAGTATCATGTAATTGACGCATCGTTTGGTGTTTCCAGGTGATGATGACACAAATGGTCATATTGACAACATGTGCTGCTTCGTCAAGCCTGGAGTAGTATTGTTGCATTGGGTTGATGATGAGAATGATCCTCAGCATGAAAGGTCGGTGGAGGCTTTTAACGTTCTCTCTAAAGCCACAGATGCCAAAGGACGTACATTAGAAATCTTAAAAATTCATGCTCCAGCCCCCCTCTATTTCAAGCCTGAGGAAGTTTCTGGTCTGGTGGTAAGGCTTATTCCATTCTTGCCTATGTAGCTTCTAAAGAGTTTAGAAGTCTTTTAAACTTTGTCTCTGCCTTAACTTGAGTAGCTTGGATGTATACAATCTCATGCTCAATATAATTGGTGGCATGTAGCAAAATAGTGCCGTGATCAGGCATGAAGGACAACGCCTGGCATCGTCATATGTCAATTTTTACATTTGTAATGGTGGAGTAATTGCACCTGCATTTGGAGATTTAGCAGCTGACCAAGCAGCTGAGGATGTTCTCCGATCTGCATTCCCCACACATAAGGTAATTTTTAAATATCTTATCATCATGCTGTGAAAACTGTGTTCTACGATTCTCACATGCTTCTCTAAGGCATAAAAATTCATAAACTGATAGTAGTGAGCATTTTGATTTTAGTTTGCTGTGCACTACATGAAACATGAAATATTTATCGGAGCTCAATACTCGCATCGACTTGTCTTTGCCAAGAAAATTCAACATCTTTTTGTGATAGTCCTGTGGGCCTCCTGTGTCCAACCTTGGTGCAGGTTGTCATGATCCAACATGCTCGGGAGATACTCCTAGGTGGTGGCAATATCCACTGCATCACGCAGCAGCAGCCTGCTGCATTTTCTGCACTTCATCCATTACCAGATGATACTGTGGGTCGGAAGGGTGTAGAGGATGGCAAGGCTGTAGAAGGTGCTTCTTTCCAAGAATTCGCTCCAGCAGTTGGTGAAGGATCTAGCACCACTGTGACAAAGACGTTGGTTGATTCATTGTTAACTGCCTCGATGCTAATGAGCTCCCAAAAAGGTTAATTTTTCAGAAATCTGAGCTTCTCACAGAATAGTCTAGATACGAAGTAGTCATTTGCACTAGTTGTCACGCTGTAGAATTGGAGACTTTCGAATGGCAACTATCACTTTGCAGATTATGCCCACTTGCAGCTTTCTATTATACCATCTATACTGCATTACCACTATAGGGAGTGTATTATCATTTGTACATCAATTTTTACACAGCACGGATTTGCTTGATGTCAAAGACCGGCTGCGAGTATATACGCTCTGCTCCAAGTTCCCAAATATCAATATATTTCTGACGTGCAATCATTTTTTTTCTGTGAGAAATTTGTCATGCTACGAACCTCAAAGATAAACTAATCATTGTTTTGCTGGGTCGGTCGTAATCTCGTGTGATGTTTTGATTGCGCACAGGTCTTGGTGAGTGTGTAGTGGAATGCGCCGATCATGTGTGGTTGTTACACGATTGATGCTGCGATGCCATGAATCCACCCACGCTCAGGCAAAATGGACCCCCATGTATCAGTTGGATGTAGTAGTCCATGAAATTTTAGTCGGGAAACAGAGATTAATTCAAATTTAGACTTGAGTGAGATTGATGGTTGCAAAGGACGAGAAGTTGAACCAGCTTGCAGTTAAAATTATCCTGGGCATTAATCCGCCGTTTGATCGCTTATTATCATCACTCTACCCTCAAGTATAGCTTCTGGAAGATAGCCTTATTCGGCAGCCATCACTTCTCCATGTGCTTGTAACTGAAAAAGGGCGGAGGTATCAAGGGATTCGAGGGTCAATCTATTTAAGGCTTGTTCTGGTGTGTCAGGGAAGATCGACCTATTCTTGGCCCATTTAGTTGTGTCAGTTGCAACGGCATTGATTACCATTGAGCTTTTCTGCGAAATATATTTATTGCTTTCAAAATGAAAGCTCTGATTAAAACAACAAGAGACATGGATTGTCTCTTCGTGATTCTCCCATTGGATCGTCTCGCACTGGTGTCACAGTAAGTTGATGGAGGGATCCTTTTCAATCGACAATATGCGAATATGAGTTTGCGAACAGGACTCTGGAGGATGGAATTGTTGAAGTCTCAACTCAGCAAAAGTCTCTGGTGAGAGAATCACATTTGGGACGCACTACATCCATGTGCACGCTGATTTCACTAGGAATAGTCACAGTCGGAGAATTCATGACGTGAATATGTGTATCTCAGAAATCTTCGCGTCCACCTCTTCACGACAGCTCGCCACAGGAATATGATTCTCGAAGTGTACGCTTAAAGAAGCGGGAGCCACTGTACATTTTTATTCTTGACAAGGTGAAATGAAAGGCTATATCCAGGGATGCGCGGACCTTGTCTTTTGAGGTGGTGATTGGATTGGAATTTCCATTTTGTTGCCGAATCGGAGGCGTAAATGAGACCGAGGCTGGAGAACCGTGCGGGTTCGCGTGGGAGATGAATAGACCGCCACGCCAGGGGCGGCACGTCGTGCGCGCATTAGGTCGCCTGCAACGGCGCGCTTCTGCATCTCCCGCCCGGAAAACAGGATCTTCGTCTGGACGAGCACTTTTGCTATGGCACTAACAAACGCGATTCTGTCGAAATGAGATGTTTCAGTCTGCTTTTGTTGCTGTCTTCGCAGGGGAAGCTGTGGGTTCTGCTTTTTTCAGCCCCCGAATTGGAATGAAAGGTTTGTCTTACTCCGTCGTGAGCTGCCTGCGGTTTTCTTGCAAATCAGTTGGCTGTCGTGGCGGCGATACGTAGTCAGGCGACTAAACGGGACTTTTTTTTTTTTTTTTTTTTTTTTTTCCGATTTCGACTTTTGTTTTGTTTTTGTTTTTGTTTTTTGTTTTTTTATGTTCGTTGGGTTGCTCGCCGGGGAGCAATGAGGGAGAGCGGAGTGGCTGTCAGTTGGTGCGTTGTGCTACTGTTTGCGGATGCTTAGATTTCGCTCTCGCACCTCGGGGGTTTTGAGTGATTCAAGTTGCGGCGCGAGGAAGTCTAGGATTCTAGGTTCGTGGTTGTGTCTGTCTGTGAGATTTGTATTCGTTTCTGGTAATGTAGTAGAAACCGCTTGAGCTGTTAGTGAAGTTTCATAGTGAAGATATGGAGTCTGCTGGGTTCTATGTAATCACTTGGGTCCATACTTTCTTATACAATGTAGACTTTGTGCGTGATTGTTATTAGACTTAAATCGTAGCAAGGGAGAGCATGACGCTGCAGCACTGATTGCTGAAAATCTGCAGCGTGGACACAGGGTCGGCGCGAAGAAAATTTGCAACAGCAGTAGTAGCAGCAGCAGCAACAACAAGTGTAATTGCTGAGTAGTACAGTTGACACAATTTGCCATCCATCATGGAGGTCACTTTGTTGTGTTTTCTCACGATCCGCATGAAAGTGTAACATTAGGAAGAATTGTTTTGATTTCTGTTGAGAGTGGCGTTGGAGGAAGCGTCGACGCCAAAACAGCGACTTATGAACATCGTTGTCTTTATGTTGTGATTGTTCTTGTTAACACCCTCTATGCGTTACAGCCAGTGGTCTGCTTGCACGTTTGTAATTCTTACAGCTCTCGAAATTTACGATGTTCCAGAATTTTGCTTGCAGGACATCCACCTTTGTACATTCAGCCCGGTGTTTCTCGGAGCACACATGACTTTTGCGTTTGAGGCAGCCGCTGAATTGGGCTTGGTTCCGGATGGTAGTAGGTTACCGATAAGGAGGTGATATTTGTCTCGTTGCATGAATTTTATAAGAGACTTAAATAGCTTCTGATGGGGGCGGAAATTGTACCCACTTTGGTCACCGAAAAGCCCAAGGGCAAGCTCTTTACTGCAGTCCTACCGAGTGTTTGGTTCATCAAGCTGCGTTCCAATCGTAGACGGTCGCGGAATTCGAGAGCATCCGACGAAAACAGCGAGCCCGTCATTCCTGACAATGCACCATTTCTCCCCAAGAGCGTGGAGAATTGTTACCGGACTGCATTGGCATCTGAAGCATGTAGCTTCAGCCCTCTTGATGGATCGCACTCTAGAAGCCCTAGTGACCCTCCCATCTCCAGCCCATGCGCTGAGAGAGATGGTGTCAAATCTGCTCCTGTGCCTTCGACCCCGAACAGGAAGAGCATTGCTCGCTCTGAGGGGACCTTAAGCACGAAGAGCATAGCTCGCTCTGAAGAGACTCCAACCAGGAAGAGCATGTCTCGCTCGGAAGGGTCTGCGGGGACCACTAGATCAACAACAGTAACCTCTGTCGCTACCACCACGTCCTCTACAAATTCTAGTATATTCTCCAGGTGCATGTATAGATCCACATTATTCTCAGGGCTGAGGAGTTTGTGCAAGCTAGTCGATGATGATGACTCTCTTTTGAAGGGGAGCAATTCGATACAATTTCGAAAGTCCCCGACACCCACCATGAGGGCATGGTTTTTGGTGGGTTGTGGAGGCACCCCGCGCTCACGTACTCGCCACAGCAGCCTAGACCTGGAGAGAGAGTCTGGGCTGATGGAGTTGGACGGGGAATCAGGGCTCGGGTGCATTGAGGAAGGAGTGGGAGTTGAAGCTTCTTGGCCCAGAAAATCCGAGTCTTGGTCGGCGGGCGATTCAATGAAGCATAATAATGGCGAGGTAGTCAAGAACGAAGTTGTCGTTAAGAAGAAGAATTCCTCAAAGCATAGGGTGCAGTCTCCGGTAAAATCCCCGATGAAGGTGAGGTCTCCGGCGAAGTTGAAGCAGGGAACTAAACCCACACTTGGTCACCTATTTTCCTCCAAGTCCGACACAGATTCCCCAAGGAAGGATTTCCCAGAGACCGAAGAGGAGTCTGAAATTCACATTGAGGATCCCAAGCTGGTCACACTTCCATGGGGATCGACGTCTTTTGGGAGTGACAGCACCTTCAGAGTGCCTTCGGTGTGTTCAGAGTATGGATTGGCGCTGTCAGAACGCAGACCGTTCTCTTGCGACGATTCAGAGATCCCGGCTTACAATGATGAAGTCGACACTGGTAACCTCTCGGACAGCCAAAGCTTGCTGAGAGCGAAGATGCTTGCAGCAGAGCAATCATGTGACGGCTCGAAATCGTGGAGGGATCTACGAAAGTTTGACTTGAAGCAGAAAGATGATGCGGCAATGAAGCTTCTTGCATCTCTTGATCACGCTTTGGATCAACGGAACTTGAAGAGGCTGATTGAGGATGACGAAGACAGCGATCCTGGCTATGAATCCATTTTCGGAAGTCCGAGATTCGAGTTCCACAACTCGCCTGTGTTTGAAAGCTTTCTCGAGTCTTCCGCAAAAGCATGGGGGATTGATTTCCCTTCCCTCAAGATGGACGAGGCTAAGACCTCAGGTAACATCAGCGACAAAAGTAGGGAGCTGCACTGTGTTACTGTCCAGACCGCGACTCAAATGGAGAAGGCGAGAGAATTGGCACATGAGTGGGACAGTAAAGGGAGAGAAGGAAATTCTGCTGTGCGAGTCAGTTCATCTCTGTGTGCCAAGCCTCGGAAAACGAAGCGTTCTGGGGAGAAGGAAGATCCGAAGCGGCCATCTCCTTCGAGAAAAGCTCCATCTAAGATCCTCCATCAATCTCCGCCAGGAGGAGATGTCCCCAAGAACAGTCGCGACCAGAGGACCATGCATCCTCAAAGGGAGGTCATGGTGGATCCTGGCCTCCATGAAGAATTCCATCATAGGAGGAAATTCAACGAACCAAGGAAGCGGACTAAGCAGCGGCGCTCAAAGCAAGTGGCCTCTGTTGACACTTCCCCACCTGCCCCTATCCCAGCTCCAGCTTCAGCTCCTGCTCCAGCAACTAAGCAACAGACAAGTGTTACGAAGGAGAGAGTGGCTGTTGTGGTGGAAAGCTCCTACGATCCTTACAACGACTTCCGGGAGTCCATGATAGAGATGATTGTCGACCAAGATATTCAGGAAACTGGCGATTTGGAGGAACTTTTGCAATGCTATTTGTCTCTTAATGAGGCAGAGTACCATAATGTCATTGTGGATGTCTTCACGGACGTTTGGCATGAGCTTTTCGAGAACAAGTTTTAGATTCTCCTGGAAGGAGTATGCGAATGTTGCTCCACTTACAGAAGAACCCACTTCTTGAAAGGGACAACTCTTTGCGGGCGGAAAAAGATCTCCCCGCTGATAACTATCCCCTCGATGTTTTATTATTCAACTTCACAGAAATGTGTACGCATGTCCGTTGAATGCCGGATATGCCCATATTTGCCGACAAGGAGCCCGAGTTCGTTGCGAATTAAACGCATGCTGTGACTCGGCATCATGTGCAAAGTCGTAAGATAGTCGGAAGAGGCGATTTGACCTATTTCCGAAGACGGACACTTAGAGGACTCAGGTTTTTTTTGCACTGATTTATCACGGTGTCGAGTTGTGTGTTAGACTGTGAACTAGATTTCAAAAACAGGTGAAAGGTGAATCGTAAGTGCTGGGTATATTTTGCTCGTCCTCAAGAAAATTATGAAGGCGACAAAAGACAGACATGTCCGGTAGTTAGATAGGTACTCGAAGTGGATGGACGCTGTTCACAAGAGCAGGCCGTGGTCATCTAAATGGAGATGATTTGAGTATCAGGTTGCTTCTGGAGATTTTGAACTTCAATTCCAGGTAATGCTCCTACGCTACATAAAGCTCAGTGAAACATTTCACGGCATCAACTTGTATAAATTTGATCTCGATATCAAGCTACTCTTGTCGGTAGTGTTACTCACAGAAATCATCGTTCAGAAATGACATCCGCGGCTTCATGCCTCTGTTGATTGAAAGAAAGATGCCTCTTTATAATCGACTGTTTGGCAGCGTGTTGAACCTGTTGTAACATTACAAACATGTTTGTGTGGTGGCGGTGCAACAGATGGATCTATTTGCCCTACAACATTCAGAGAAGCCTCCATGTTTGAAGTTAGGACTCCAACAGCTGACCAACGGTGACGCATAGCAAAAATGACGGGCATTGACATGGACTGTAAATGAATCGACAGATTGCCTGTCAGGACTGAGGTGGACACCTTCTGTGGACTGCAAGTGAGATTTTGAGAGATAGTCACACTTTGTACATTCACAGAACAAATTTTTGGGTCACTTCATCATCGTCATAAGATGACATCCAAGTTACGCATTTGCAATTGAGTTTCACATGGCAGAATCATCCAAGTATTTAGCCATGCTATGGCCATCACCACAGAGTTTCTTGACGCTTCATCTTACACATAATAGACCTTGCTTTCCTCGCTGATGGTAACATGATTTCTACTGTAATGTATGTATGAGTGGCTGTGAATCGAATGTGTGCCGTCCTTGTCAATTTGTCTCCATAAGGAACCCACCTCATTGGTAAGTCTCGGGACATTTATGCTAAATACTATTGTTGCAAAATAACATGCAGTATCGTGTCTACCTTCACGGACGTACTTAAAATCTTCTCTACACCGTAAGAGATTCACGATCAGTGCACTGATACGCTGGCACGCTTCAACTTCAAATTTGGAAGTCATTGTTCCAAACCAGAGTTTGCACAGTGCCCCCCTACAGAACTTACACCATGCCACAGGACAACTTGGAGTTGGGCAAGTTGTTCCTACTTCAGCCAACCAGGTTAGCTCTGCTGTTGCTCTTGCTTGGCGAAAAGTGACGACCACATGATGATATCGAAACGTGTCGAGTATACGATCCGCTGTTACCGACTTCCAAAGGAATCCCAACTCACCTGATTATTCTCGCTGCCATTGCACCCCAGATTGCGCTTTGGATAGCTTCGCAAACCTTTTGGTGCGACCCATCAACAGGATTTGCAAATCAACGCAGCAGAGCAAGTGAGGAAAAGCTCATCGGCTCTGCCAATGAGAAACCTCATCGCCGACCTTCCGCAAAATTATCCTCTTCGGCCTAATGCTTGCAATCACAAAGAGAAAATCCGGCGCAATTTGTTGCACGCCCTGGCATATTCTGGACGACCACGGCAAGAGTGTTCGACACCTGGAGGAGGTGAACGAAATTCGAATTACTCCATGGCATCATGTGGCCGTTGGCAGTCCACATCCGTAGGCGAGGGTGGCAATCTGCAAATTCGTCTTGAAAAGCGCGCGAAGGGCGGTGCCTCCTCGGAACCCACGTATATAAACTACAAGCAGATTCATAGCCACTCACGGGTGCAAGCGCAGCACTTGACCAACCTGATTTCTGGGACAAGTGCATCCATTGGCGCCCATGGCAACTGAAAAAGCCTCCATCGAGCTCCTGATGGGTTGCGTCATGCTGCGACGTAGATCAGTATGCTGCAACACAGACTCCTATTAGAAGATGAAGGAAAAAGGCTTCAAGGACCGAGTTTAGCGTTTCTGTCGAAGTTCCTTTGCATCATATTCGAAGTGCATTCGTTTCGATTATTTAGCAGCATGCTGACGTGAGTGGCTGTCACGCCATCTGCGGTGAGCTCCTCAGCCCGCCCTGCAGACCTCAAGTCGTGGGTTGCTGTCTCGAAAATCCAACTTATATTAGAAGTCGGAGCTGCTAGGTGTGATGCGCATCCGATGCCTCCACCACAAACCAGCATCAGCACCGCGGCGGTGTTTCGACTGATTCCTGGACTTCCCCACCCCTCCTTTTCTCATCATCAAGCGCATGATTCCTGGTGCTACCTCTGCAGCCCTCGCAATCGATTCGTCGAGGCTGCCAGTTTCCGATCCGCAAATCGGAAGCGTGGATGAGCACTAGGATCGTCGCGCATCTGCGAAACGATTTCTGCCAAGGGGCCTGGATCTCCTGCAGCCACAGCGTCGCTGTCAGCTGCCGCCACTCTGGTTGTCACTTCTCTCGCTCCGCGTCCTTTGTGTGTGATATCATATGGTTGACAAGAGTTGTGTGAGAACTTGAAAAAAAATATATATTCAGATGTATGTACATATATATATATATATATATATATATATATAATAAGACGTTTATTTGAATGAAAATCTAGCTTTGAAAAGAAGTGGGGAATTCTTGAAAGAATCCGTTACTCATAGTTTAATGAAACGTTATAAAACGACTCGTTTTGGGAATCACACAGTAATTGTGTGAATGCATAATTTAGAGTATTTAGAGTGTTTTGTTTTATTTCCAATCAGATTTAAGTTCCACAGCATCAAAAAAGTGTTCAGTTTTTTCTTTTTGAAAGTTGCAATTTCTATAACTGAACAGACTTTGGTGTTCATAAATGTTGTGGTTCGTCTTTATTGCATTGAGTAAGCAATTCAATAAAACATGCCAGTTATTGTACAGTGTTTTAAAACGAAAAATGAGCATATATATAAATATATCATCCTTTATTTATTTTGAATCATTATCCAAATTGATTAATTGAACTTTACAACTAATGATGTGGATTTTGAATATTTTGTGTACATTACAACTGTATAATTAAACATCACATGAATACTGATGTATATACGGAATAATTGATGGATCAAATAACAGGATATTTTGGACCGAAATAATTTTGTAAAGAAAATTCTAAAATGCTCATTGCAAGTACTATTGTAAAGCTGTACGAGAGACATTATTTTATATTTTATCGACGTAAAAATACCTCACACATAAATGGAGTTTACTTCAAATGTTGATTCCCTCGCAGTAAAACTATGGTTTATATATATACTTGTTTAAAAAAAAAATGTAAATTTCACTTATTTTTTTATCCATTTGAATTGTTTTTAGTAGCAAGCCCAAGGAGAAATATTATATCAAAATAAGATAATAATATTATTATTGTTGCATATATCAATTTGAGATTATTAAATATCAAAATAATTTTAAATTTCCACAAATATTGTATGTAAGAAGAGGAAATGTGGGTGATAATTAATTGTATATGATAATATTATTGGGCACCAGAAGAGAATAATCAATATGATGATAGACTTACAAACAAATGACTTAGTCTTACAATATTACAATTAATTTGAAGGAGGATGATACTACCAAAAGGATGACATAGTAATATGGATTTGTGAGACTGTTTTTAAATGCACAAATACAAAAATCATATTCAAGAGCTGTTGAAGACAATGGGTTGTGGTTCAAATGCCAATACCATATTCTCTCTCCTAAATTGTGGATCTAGCTGTTAGGGTTGTTGGATATTCAACATGAGAGAGCAACTGAGAGATGAAAAAAATATATATAAGATATATATATATATATATATATATATATGAAGATAAGATAAAGTAAAATAAAATGCTCTCAACACAAACTCAAAACTACTTATAATTGGTTCCCCATCCTATTTTCTGCTACTACAGGGCCCCATTGAGTGTCAAGTAATTGTGTTCTATTATGCTTAGAAATCACAATTCCACATGTTCAGAAGCATTGGGCAATGCTTTCAACAGGATTGTGATGGTGAGAGTCAATGAATGAATAGTCAGGTCCAGGAATACAAATAATGTAACTGGGGCACTCTATTGAAATGTATGGGCTAAAGGGGGTGCATACAGGGATCATCACTCTACCCCCACTCTCACTCACTGCCCCTTTTTACAAATGGATCACATGAAATTTACCCATTGGATGTAGCTTCTAATGGAGAAGCTCAACTCCATTGATTGATATTGGTTATCTTCTTCACACAGATGCTCCAACAAACCCTACAAAAAACAAAACAAGAGCAGAATTGTTTTAGGGTTCTCCCACTAATTTGTGTGTGTGTATGTGTATGATATATATATATATATATATATATATATACTGGAAATTTGTGGTATTGGCCACAAAAAAATTGATAGGGAGCTTCCAAGCTCTACTCCTAGTGATTTTGTAGTGCTACTTTTGGCAATCTGAAGCAACAACATGCAAAATTCAATCTGTGATTGATCAAAAGTTGATTTATTGTTTCACTTTTGCTTTGATTTTGATGAAAACTATGAGATATGCAGCCAACTATAGATGATTTTTGTCTCCTCTAGTTTATCTTGTTGATTTATTTCCCATGAGCTGTTTTTTTATAAGAGATATATCTACACATGAAATTTGCACATGATACAATGAAGTATCTACACTTGGCTGCTGAAACAACAACTCATTCTTCTGCTAATACTCTTTGTTCTGTTATAAATTTTGGAGAAAAGGTAAATAACAATCTTAAAATTATAAAGCACTCAAAGCTTGTGTTTAGTTAGGGTATTCTCTTTTCTACAGAATATGATTCATGTGGCCCTAAAGCCTGTGGTGCCAATCTCTCTCAGCACACAAGCATCTTCCAATTAGAGTGTAGTTTTTTTTCTTTTGTACATGATTGCTTGTGCCCCACAATTTGGTTTTTCCCCACTTTGTAACAAATCCTAAAGAATAATGGTGGTGCAGACTGTCAGAGCGCATGGGCGATGGATGCACTTCCTCTCACTGGAATATTTTCACTTGTCACTTATATTACTTTACCAGCATGAGTGGCTGCACATTGAATTACAGGGGTTGTAGCCTTTGAGTTCAAATCCACTAAAGTGGTATATGTTACCTAGAATAGTTCTCAAAAGAGGAAATAGAAAAAATCAAGTAGATAAGTGGTACATATGCAAAGCTGGGTTTGGATTGCGTCCAAGGATATATGAGTCCTTCAATATATATATATATATATATATATATATATACCATCAATAAACTTTTATACACGTTTTAAATGAAAAAAAACCATACATTTATACATGTAGTTACCATTATCAACAGTAAAAAATGCAAAGCTTGTTTTCGGGGATTTGTGATGAATAAGATGTGAGGACAAGGACAAAACCTTCCGAGGTCCTTTGATTTCTGGCTTCACCTCAAGGTCCACGCTGGTTTGAATGCCCCAGCTTCGGCACCTAGCCTGGCAGTGAACTAGGTTTGGTTAGAGCCAGGCTTGGATCCAGGCCTATAATCAAGTCCTCTACCTTTGTCACATTAGTTTGCAACACCTCCCTCATCCAGGCAACTGCCACACGGCTCCCCTGGCTCCAAGTTCTTGGCCAAGTCCCCAGGAGTGGCCAAAACTCTTTCTCTACTCAATCTTTTTTGCAATTCAAAGAGGGCATGCGCTAAATGAGTTCTGTTGCACAAAGAGTGTGGTTCTTAAAAAAACTAGGAGATCTAGAATTTGTATTCAGGTGGTAACACCCATATTAACTTTATTCTGATCATTGATCAATCAAACCAAACCAAACCAAACCAGGTTGTTTTGAGGTATTGTCTTAGGTTATATCTTTCTCTGGGCTTCTCTCATCACTCTACGATTATCAAGCTTAACAGGTATGTGCTTTAGAGATATGCTCAAACTCTTTTTTCAGATGCATGTTCTTTTGTAATATTTATCCTTTGCAGTGCTTAGTATACGAGTTAATTCCCATGTTTACACAGGCTGGTAAAATTTATGTGTGAGGGTTACTTAGAGTGACCAGGGTCTTTTTGTTTTCAGCATTTTGAACAGAAACCAACCAAATCTCTTGGCTTAAAAGGCAGAACAAGCCATGCCTGGAATGGAAAGCTGGCACTTCTGCCTTCACCAAGGTCATGCACACACAACTTTTCTGATATATTCACCGCCTTATTGTTGTTCCCAAACCATGAAGGGGATATTGGCCATCTAAATATCTTTACAATTTTAGATAGTGCAATTCTGTTTAATGATCCATGTCCAATCAGAACCTTCAACTTGCAAAGAAAAATGCCTTGTGATTGGGTCTGCAGTATTAATTGTGAACAAATGATTGGATATATCTATATCTATATATATATATATATATGAACGATTTTATGTTTTACATATTTTTCTTGTCGTGGCCAATTATTCAGACAAAAGTAGAGAGAAGGAATGAGAAATAATATAAAATAAAGAAGAAGAAGGAAATAAGAGTAGAAGGAAAACGAAATGGTCTTTATCATTGACCCTTAGCAATCAAGCCCGAATAGAAGGTACCGCTTCCTATACAGATTCTAAGTTTTCCTTGTCAGACTCAATGGGTTTGTTCTCCAAGGCATCAATATGAGTACTTCTGAATAAGACCAGTGCATGAAGGCTTTATACATAGGCAGGGAACTTCGAGAACAATAGTTCCCCTCCTTCACTGTCTACTTCTATAAAGAAGCAGCATTTTATTTTTGTTTTTATTCTTCAGAAATGTAAAGATAAAGCTGAGCTGGCGTTCGCTGGACGAGATATGGAACCTTCAGTGAATGAGCAAAAAGGGCCTTTTCCACATCCTGAGAAGGTGAACAATTCAACTCTTCTCATGATCCTCCAAATCATTGGGCTTGGAATGGTAAAGGAAACCCACAGCTTTCATTAAGAAAAATCTGTTTTGCATCATAATCCAAGTTCTTAATCTTTCATGGTCCACACAATTGTGTTGTAAACTCCATATTTAAGTGTACCACAACCAAAAGCTTTGATCAATTACAGAACACAACATTCTGATCCTCTTCCTCACAAATAATGATACCCAATCACTAATTCTGGTCCAACGTATAATCCAAGTTTGCAGGGCTGTTGGTTTCGAACACAACCCTCACAAGGTTCCATCATGGCAAATAAAGGTCTCAACCATTAAGTATTTTTTCATGACGCTGGTAAATGCACCAAAATTTTAGTTGATGCCAGCGCAATTAGGGAGGTAATGTTAATAATCTGCAACTCTTAGTGGGACAGAACCAGCATAGAACTCCAAGACCCAGATCTCAAAATTCAACATTTTTATTTTATTTTAATGGTGGCTTTAAAACCTTTGGGAAGAACAAGTGTCAGCACATCCTTGGCTGCACGAGCCCAATTTAGTAAACTCTCATGTGTGCCGAAGAAACACAGGGTTTTGTCTTTTAAAGACACGGCATTGGTGTAGAATCCATCCATGATCTCAGAAGCTTAGCAAACCTCCAGCTGCAGCTTGACCTTGCCGTTCCTTAAGTGGGAGATGCCATGGAGACAAGCAATCCAAAGAAACAGCGACACTTGCTTCAAAAACACACACTCTCTTAGCTCACTCAAACTGGGTACTCATCGATGGGAAAAGCGAGTAATGGTCTACAGTGCCATGCAACCGAACGAAAGAGGATGAACGGCAATGGGTGGACAGATGAATGAGTGGATGAACTGATCATCTCAGTCCAAAAGTCCAGCCTCGCGACCCAACACCTCCTTGAGGTCCCTTACCAGCAAGTTCCGATTGGAATCCAATTGGCCACGCTGACGTGGCGGCTTCCCAATGATGTAGAATATTCCAGTGTGGGTCAGGCGACGGGGGGGTTGTACAACAAAGTCAGCTTGAAAAAGTTACGTTTCACCGAAAAGGAGCGGGTTGGCCCCGAAGATTGCGGGGAGAATATTTGAAATCTCCAAGCAACGGGTCCCCTTGTTTCTTCGATTTGTCTTTTTCTTTTTCTTTTTTTGATTTCTTTCTTGCTTCACCCTTTGGCCACTCCCACAAGTCACTGCCTTGCTTGTGTCCTAAGCATTGAAATTTCAAATGCCCTATTCAGTTCCTCCGAAGTTAGGGGGGATTTGAGAGACTTTGTATGCTTTTGCTCTTTTTTCTTTCCTAGTCTATGTGACGAATGTTCCTTATTTTTGTATTCTCTTTCTTGTATATATATATATGTGTGTGTATGTATGTATGTATGTATGTATATAAAATCCAAGGCTTTGAACGTCGTCCTTACACCAACTGTTGTTTTTTTCAAAAAAGTTCCTGTTTCTAAAAATAAAAACAATCATATGGGAGCATCATAGTGCTGCAACTACATAACTGTGTTAAAATTCTTGAAATATTCAAAGGTGTTTCCAAAAGTACATTCCCCAGTGGATATTTTGATATATTTAAACACAACAATATTTTTATGTAGTCCTATGTGCATGTACATTCAGCATGGTTTTTGTTATATATTACAGTAATTTAACTATAAACATGGCCAGTAGTATTTTTTTTCATATATATATATATATATATATATATATGTGTGTGTGTGTGTGTGTATGTGTGTACATACATACATATATACATACATATTCACATGTATTCATGCTGACTTTATATTACAAATAGGTGTTGGAGATGGCCTTTTTCTTAGATGGTGGATGATATCCTTGAAATGCATCAGTGTGTTGAATAATCAAAATGTGGTCTTATATTTTTATTAATTTTATGAACAAAAATCACTTTGCTCATTGTGTGCTTACATGAAAACGTAATTGTATTGTTATGATTTTAAAGGAAGCACTACAAGTCTTAATAATATCAGAAAACTACTTTTAGCTCTGCTGAACAGTGTAATAAAAACATTGGGTTGCAAGCCAGTCTAATTATTATTAAACACATTTAAAATCAATTTCTATTACACTGTTTTTGGTATATATATATATATATATAGAGAGAGAGAGAGAGAGAGAGAGAGAGAGAGAGGATATAACCAATGCCACCACAACCTGTCATCCACCACAATCACATTCATCTTTTGTAAATGTTACTAATAAGAATATATATATATATATATATATATATACACACACACACTGACGTTGAGAAATAGTATGGTAAATAGCAACAAAAAAATGATTGGAATAAAAAATCTAATTATACATATCAAGTGGGTGGCATTAGCAATACCACACAAGTATACTTGTTTAATATATTTTAAAAAACCAAACTCATCTTTCATAAATTGTATTACATTAGCCATAATAAGTGGTTTCTCACAAGTTGCATATTTACAAAATAGGCATTGTTAGAAGAATAAGAATCGGATGATGCGTTATATTTGTTTATTGAGTAATGGTAAGATTGGAAATGACATTTTCATGAATTACTACGTGGATGATTAATATAGCCCTTGTTCTGGCACTAGAAGTTGGGCTGCCTCGGTTCATTTATTTATTATATATAACATATCAGTTGTGGCTTTCCTTTCCTGAATAGGACAGACAGGTTGGTCCTTACCATTTTCCATGTATATAAATGAAAAGTCCATGATTTGGGGTGCAGAGTCCTCTGGGTATTCATTCTGGAGGGTTTGATGCCACCGTGGCATGGTCAGAACTGGAGCCCTTTTTATATTTTGGCGAGAGCGGCAGGTCTCGTGCTTGAGCGAATTGTGATCCCACCTTTCTATCGAGGGATTCCCCCGTGAGGTCAAATCCTAATCCTCAGGATGAGGGCAATTGCTTTGGTGTGGGGCACCGGAGTTTCTTGTGTTCATTGACCTCATACATTTCATTGTGGCAACTTCACTGACTTGGTCTTTTTTTTTCTCAGTTCTTATTGCTTCGCCTCTTCGGATACCCTCCCTTACTAGAACACTTCTGGCATCGCGGCCTATGCCGAGCAAAGTCCTTACGGAAATAATGAAAAGCTCACCATAAGTGGACAGGCTTTGTCTAATCCAACCACTGGTATGTTTTTCAAAGCTTCCTCTGTCGAAGTTTACAAGGAAGGAACATCTTGAGTGTAAGCCTTGAACGAATATCTGAAGTCAACTGCCACAGCTAATCTTCCTTTTTCATTTCCTCCTCCGTGTGACGATCGTTTTGCACCAAAATTTCTCCAATTTTTTAATTATTAAATTTAAAACAAAAACCTTTTAGGAGTTTTTTTTTTTTTTTTTTTTTTTTGATATACTACCAGTGATATGGTTCGCAAAGGTAGCGAGAAAGGGAATTTCATAGGTTGTCAGAAGGGAACAAAGAGTAGAATTCTGCGCCGGCGCCATTGAGCGAGAAGAGAAAACCGGGTGAAGAGGAGACGAAGGTAGAGCGACCTGACGATACCGACCTCCCTGCCACGCATTGACTGGGGTCCCGTACAAGCGTGGAAGACCTCAATACCTGTATCACTGACCAGGGGAGACTAGTAGGTTCGGACTCAGTCCGCCCCGGATCCCAGGCCAGCCCTTCCTTCATTGCTTCCTTCCCCTTCCCCGCATTCACCCTTCCCACCATCGCCGAAGTCTAGAAGGCGTCTTCAACCTTGGCAGTCTTGAGAGCCAAGTACTTTCCCCTATCATAGGTTGAAATCTGGCAGACGGAATCACTTATCAATGGTTGCGGAGAGAAACAGAGTAGACATGAAATGAGGGAATAAGTTATTCTGACTCATTATGGACGCGCTGTTCAAAACGCGCTTTATCCCGGGGACCTGTTTCTGTTTGTCTTTGGGGGGTGTATTGATCAAGCCGCAAGGATGACATAGGATAGCGTAGTGTGAATCTCGAGGATGAAGGTGGGTGGTAAGAGGCGCGGATTGCGGAATGCAAGTCTCAAGCCTTTGGAAGAGCCCCCTGCTGCTGATTTTTGTGGCACTGTCAAGTTTTGAGCGTATGGGGTGTGTTTGCGCTGGAGCGGAAGCATTTCTGAAATTTAGAGTGTGGTTTTTGATGTTAGGGATTTTTGTCGGAGAAGGAAGGGGATACGGCGCCGGAGTGTGGCATGTGCGATGCGGGTTGGTGAATAGGGGTTGAGGGTATACGAAGTGGAATCTGGGAAGTGTGTGCACATTGTGCAAGAATGGTGCCTTGTTGTTGGGGTGAGTGAATTGTCGGGGGATGGGGTGAGGATTTGGCCTGGGCATGTGAATTGTGGTTTCGAGTGGTGCTGCTATGGTGATGGATCGGACTCAGGAGCATAGTGCAAGCACGAGTAGAAATAGCAGTTGCGAACACATCCTCTCGCAAATCTTAGGTGAAATTGATGCAATCACGATCGTGTTGGACGCGGTCGTAGACGTGCCTAAGGAGCGGCAGGCTTTGAAAGCCCATTTGTTGGAGTTCAGGGACCAGACTAGCTTGTTTCAAAGGAACTCGAGGAGGCACCATGCTGGAAGCGACTCGCTCCCTTCTAGCCTTGAAATTAGCATCTCCAGCCTACAGCGGAATGTGGACTTGGTTGCTCGCTCCCTGGGGATCGACCCAGTGTGGAATTCCTCCGGTGGGAAGAGTCGGGAGTCCGAAGAGGGTGATGAATCTACTTCTAATCGAAGCGTTTCCGGTTCCCACAACTGGTCGCATTTCAAGCACAGAGTTAAGAAGCTGTTTCGCGTTCCAGTCGGTTGCAAAAGTGTCCGTGCATTCTCTCTCAGGTTGACTATACTAGGGACTTCTCCTTTCAAGCACTAATCTCTTCAAATTTTTTGGGGGTGGTTTGCGCAAAGTTGTGCTTAAAGTGGAAGAGCCATTATATTTTATTGTTCGCACATGGAAGCGAGTTGGTAGTTTTCGACATTGGAAGAAACGGAGGGAAACTAAGTTGGCATTTTGACGTGGTTTTTGTGAAGGTCGAAGGGTGTCATGAAGTTTTTGGTGAAGGACTATGCGGGTGCGCTTGCCGAACTCAACAAAGCGGATTCTCTGGATCCTAACAACATCTTTATTCTTCAGTACGTTATATGTCTGCACTGAAACTAGATTCGCTGGTCGAAAGTCTTTAAGGCCGGGAGCTTCCCACATCTGAACAAAATGTTTAGGACGATATGCACTGTTCTTATGCTCTGTTTTGTGTTGCATGAAGGTTGCGTGGAGATGTGAAGTGCTGGATGAACGATTACGAAGGTGCACTAGAGGATCTTACTCGTGCAGACCATTTGAGACCCAACGACCCTTTCACCTTGAAGTACTTTGCCACTTTCTTCGTCTTTTCTCTGAGATATTTCGCATCACTAGTTTCTTTGCCAACCTACTAGATTTTGTGCCGTACGTGTGCTGACCGCTCTTGCGCGTGGAATGCAGGGCTTTGGGTATTGCTAAATCGAGTCTTCGAGATTTTCGTGGTGCATTGCAAGCTCTGAATGCTGCAAATCGATTACAGCCCAACGATATGTGGACTTTGAGGTACTGCGATGTCCTGGCCTCCTCTTAATCCTCGGCCCTCTTTTCTGATAGAGAAACGTCTAAGTCTCCTCTGTGTTTCAGCAAACAGAAATTCGGGAATTTTCACCATTAATCTCTGCAAAATATCATGGCTTACGTGTAGTTTTGGTTGCGAAACAACGGGAAAGGTTAAGGTATTGCGAGTTTTGTGGTGGATTCGGAGATTGTGATGTGATGTCACATCAGCCAACTAGAAGTGGGACCCCATTGCTCAATGATATTGCCCCGTTAGCAATGTGTAGTTACTGAAAGCTTGCAGCTCTTGGAGTCAAGTGTCGTACTTGGTCTCATGCACTCTTCCCTAGGTTCGTTTGCACTTAACTGGGACCTGGCTATTTCTCGGGGCTCCTCTAAAAAGTTTCGATCTAGTCATGGAGTCTATCTAGCTCGTCGACTGCGGAAAGTGAACAGTGTTACCTTGGTGATTGTAATTGGTCCCTTAATTGAACAGGTTTTGGAACTGATCATCGCTCATTTCACCCACTAGCAAGGAGTCGGTAGTCATAGTCATAAAAACTTGTTTGTTGATTTCTTATGTTGCAGACTTCGAGGGAGAGTGAAGCGCACCCTTCGTGACTATACTGGGGCCTTGAAGGACCTAGACGCTGCAGACCGAATCGAACCTAACGATCTTGAAGTGCTTCGGTATGTACAACCGTTTAGGGAAGAGCTGCTGATTTGATCACATCTTGACTTGAATTTCATTAAATGACCTGCATTGTATACTACGTTACTAAATGTCATTTAAAGAATGTTGACTTCTTTTCTAGTTCTGGTAGTTCTCTCATATTTTCCTGTGGTAGTTATTGATTATCATGATTGTTGCCTCGCAGTGGTCGAGGCATTGTGAAGTTTAATCTTCGTGATTACGAAGGGGCACTTATCGATCTTGACAAGGCTCATCGAATGGAACCCACAAGTAGCTATATCCTCAGGTGTTTAGATAAACCAATTGAAATTTAAAGGTTTTGTTGAGCAGGAGGCATCTTAGGCATCGTTTACCTTGACCTATTCAAATTATTAGCGGCTATTGTGACCATCTCTGATCACAAGCTTTTTTAACCTTCAATTTACTATTGGTATTTCTAATGAAAATCAGGAAAATCTGCGACTTCCTACCTATTGAATTCACGCTTCATTTTATAATTTTTGTGTGATGTCGACAGGTATCGAGCAGATACTAAGTTACGTGCTGGTAAATTAGACCAAGCACTCCTAGATGTGAAGAAAGCTATGGAACTGGATTCAGCATGTGCTCACTTGTATAGGTATGTTAAAAGCGTGATTAAGCGCCTGAAAGTTTCGCTAAGTACCTTTTTGTTGCTGCAGCAGCTTACTCTCAGCATCTGTGCAACTCCCCTGACTAGTCTCGAGAAATTGGGGCACGATAATCTGACAGGTGGATGTTCGTGCCACTGCAGGATTAGAGGTGAAGTGAAGCTCCGTAAAAAGGATATCTCAGCTGCTCATGCAGATTTGAATAAAGCTCTAGAAATGCAGTCTAATAACGCCATTGCTTTGAGGTAATTTCTCAAAACTTAGTTATGTCTTTAATCATTACTAGTTCAATTTAATTGTGGCAGCGATTTGAATTTGATAGTTGACAAGGGTTGCCGTTCTTCAGACTTCTGTATCCTATCATTTCTGGTTTTTATTTTCACGTTGCACCGAAGACTGTAATCTTGTTGCAGCCAGCAAGTTGTAGCTCCTGCAACGCCTACTAAGGTTTGAATCGGATCTATGCAGAGCTCGTGGTGAGCTGTTGTACGAGTTGGGGGAATACGAAGACGCTTTGAAAAATCTGCAATCTGCAGATCGTGCTGGGCGCAAAGATGGGGATACTCTCATGTACGGGTTCAATTTCAAACATGAGTTTTTGGTCAAAGTAATACACGTCTTGTTAATAAGCGTTAGGTTCTTGTCGTTATACCCAAAATTATGGTGTTTCCGAATTTTAAACTGGAAAATAATTTGTCTCTTTCAGAGTTTTGGCGAAAATCAAATATGCGCTAAATGATTTCAGGGGAGCCCTTTCAGATTTGAACAAAGCTGATAAACTTGATCCAAACAACCATATCTTACTTAGGTATTCAGCTTTTGTCTTCATTATCTGTGCTCTGCTTCTAGTGCTTTGTCTCAGCTTTTGAATGATATTACGAAGTTGGTTATTGGAGTACTCTAATTGTCGCTGGGCTGACTGTACAATTTTCGTTCTTACTGGAATAGATCTCGAGGCAACGTGAAAAGGAAGCTGGGCAACTATAGAGATGCATTGAGTGATCTTAACAGGGCTAATGAACTCAACCCGCAAAGCAGTTGGATCCTTGGGTATGCTACACTAAACCATATAAGTCTTATTTTTGGGATGAACCATATAGTCACCAATTTACGATCGTAAGGTAGAAAATTTCTTTATGATCAGCAACTGGTGTATTCCTTTCAGAATTTGAAATGGGACGGTTACATCGTTCTTTTGAGATTTTTAGGGGTTACCGATCTCAAGAATGTAGAGCGACAAGTTCTATGCATCGTCCTTAAATTCAATTATGAGACACATGAGATTCTCAAGTTTATTTGACGATTCATGTGCAGAGTGAGAGGTGACGTGAAGCGAAAACTCGGTGATCTTCGTGGTGCCCTAGCGGATTTGGACAGTGCTGATGAGCTTGAACCCAACAACGATTTTACTTTGAGGTACATCCACTTAGATCTACTTGTCAACGTTGAAAGGCCTCAAGATCGGCTATTCAATGTTTTATGCTCCTTTGGTGTACTTAACATCCAAGTTTCAGAATTCTTGAATGTTAACGGGCAACTTCAAGTTTTGCAAGACGTAGTTCACTTGTTTCTGACTAATTCAGACTTCTGAAGCCAAATACGTATTATCCGTGACTTTTCTGATGTGTTCGTAGAGCGCGTGCAAAGGTGAAAAGGTTACTTGGGGACGAGAGAGGTGCTCTGAATGATCAGCTACTGGCGGAGTTGCTTGGGACTAATTCTAACGTGAGTGGTAACCAGTCACTTTTCATGAGCATTAAGTTTTCTATCAAATTTTAACAAGATATGGTATCCAATTTTGTTCATTTCAAATTTGTAAATCCTACAAGTTGAGCGACTGATGACGTGGAATCTTCATTGTGCAGATTGATGAAATTGATATAAAATCTTCTAGGAGGAACATATCTCGGAGAGCGCATGAAACCCTTTCTCAACAGAACCAACAAAGCACCCGAAATTCAATTAGAGAGATCCCATCTGAGTTCGGCTCGAACTCAAACACAAAGTCTTCTGTCAGATCTTTGACATCCGGGTTCGACTCGAACTCAGGTACGAGGTTTTCAATCGGAACTCTGCCATTCGAGTTCGACATGTACACAGACACGAGATCTTCAATCGGAACTCTGCCATTCGAGTTCGACTCCAACACCGACACGAGGTCTTCAATCAGAACCCTGCCATCTGACTTCGACGAAGGCAGTGATGTTTAGAGTGTGGTTGTTGCAGATGTTTCCCGTTCAACATGGTCCACCATGTTCAGCAGATTGAGTTGTACATAACGGTTTATTTTTATTCATCAAAGAAACTTTGTGCATGAGTCTCTCGATGTAAAGTATATCTTATGGGGGGGGGGGGGGGGGGGCTACAATTTAAATCAAAGGTTGTAGTGTAGCCATTCGGCCTCCTAGTCTCAAAGGTGAAGGTAATGCTGATGCATCAGAAAGGTGAGATGAAAGTTTTGGAGCTTTTTTCAAAGAAGCTTGTAAGGATCATCCATTGTGGCATGCACTTGTAAAATTGTTCTTGAATCCAAAGTTGATCATTAGTGTTATTCTTCAAGCGAATTGTTAAAACTTATGGTGCTTTGATTATGTTTTGAACCTAAATGTGAAGTGAATGCCAAGAAATGGACTTCAAATCAGTTATTTTATAACTTTCCTACAACTGTCTCAGAGAATTAATACCACTTAAACTTTTGGTCTTGTCAAAACCTCTGTGGTATTCAAGAATTTTTAGTTCTTTATATTTGGTGATTGGATGCATATGTAAATGAAATAAGTCGATTTGTGGATAAATAATAACAAAAAAATATATTTGATTATTAATATCTAAATATATTATAAGCTCATCAGTATAAGATTTACAAATTAAGTTATAACTTATTATATAAAGTATAAAATAAATTATTATTTGGTAAAATGTGTTAGAATATCTTAGTCTTGAAGTAGGATAAAAAATTCTGAAGTGATAAAGAATCTATATTCAATTAATTAGTATGTTTATTTTATTTTAAAATATTATTATTTGTATCATTAAGAAGTGAAGATTTATTTTATTATGTTAGAAGATGCTAATATATAAAGGCAATTAAACTTAGACAATAAAACATAAAAAACATTTTTTAATATTAAAAATCCTTTTGATAGATTGATAGTATGTACATAGATGTTGCAAATTAGTTGATAATAGTATAAAAGATATACTTCACATATAATTCTAATAGTAGAAACTCATGCCATTGGTCACAAAAAAGTTATAAAAGTTTAATTTATGGTTGTTAAGTCAAAAATTGACCACTCATAAAGAAATGTTGATCAAAAAGAAGAAGAAGAAGAAAAAGAGTATATGCATAACAATAGAGCCATTTATGTTTCTTCAATGTAATTAGCAAACATAATTTTTTATTTACTACAACTTTAATAGCTAAATTAAAAGAACTTTGAGATAAATTATATTTACTGTGGTATTTATGCATTCATTATTTTCAAGATATATGATCTTAATCATATTTAGAGAAGTGCATCATAAAAGAACAATATACAATTGTCTATATAGAAATACATGGGTTGTAAGATCTATTTTTATATTCTTCAAAGATTCTCTTTGAGATTTGTTAATAGTCATTACAAATTCAACCTTTATTAGAAACTGCCTTTGCTGCAACTTGAATGGAATCTATACAAATAATGGGTGTAATGTAATTCTTAGAATAAAAGCCAATTGTTCCTTATAGTCTCCAAATAACAACCTTGCTTCTATAATTCAATCAATCACCTATATATTGACAAAGCATAATCCATTGCAAGGTCTTAAACACAAAGCAATGTCTTGCAACAACATAATAGGACATCTAACCTTCAATTCTAAGTTAAATGGTAGCAATTTTGATAGATTTAAGCTATTTAAATACTTGGTTGGATAAAAATTAGCATTGTTGGCACCATCTTCTATAAGAGTTATATTTGTACTAAAATAAATATATAAAACTCTAGAAAATCTCTTCATAGCAAGCATGTTTAGATCATCAACATCATGATTTTGTATAGATAAAATAGACTTGTCCATGAAATATTTATCTCTAAGCAATGGAAACTTGTATTTTTGAGTATAAAAAATCTATAAAATTGTAATTTGTTGGTTGTTAAGTCAAAAATTGACCAATCCTAAAGAAATGTTGATAAAAAAAATACAAAATATAAAATATAAAATATAAAATTAATATTTGCATAATAATAGAATCATTAATACTTCTACAATAATTTATAACAAAGATGCTAATATTTTTGGTTTTTATTTATGAAAATTAAAAAAATATTATATTTAATATAAAAAATAAAATAGAAAAATAATATATTTAATTAAAATATTTACATAAATATAAATATAATAAATTATTAAAAAATATATTTTAATATATTCTAAAAAAATCAAAGTAATTTAAATTATGACATAATAAGTATTGAATTAGATTTATAAATTTATCTAATTATATATTTTAATTATTTTAAAATAATATCAACAATATAATTTATAAAATTCTTAATAAATATTTAAATAATTAAAATTTAAAAATTGTTTAATTTAAAATTATCATATCATGAATAAATTATAACCAAATCAAATAACATAATTATTATGAACTAATTATTTCTTGTTTTAAAATGATGAGTGCAAATCATCAATAGAATTTCACATATTTTAAACTAAAAGAAAATCAAAGTATCCTACAACTGTCACTGACATATACATGTAAATCAATAATTACCTATATGATTTAGATAATAGTAGGTAAAAGTAGGTTAATTCTATAATATCTTCTATAAAAGCTTCCTAGAAGCTTAATAGATGCTATTTTCACTTTATAGGTGTCTTTAATTAATTTTTTAGGTTAGAAACGTGGTCAACAAATTGGCCATGTGCCACACATGTTGGTAGCTTGAAGAACAAGCTAACTATGTGGCCCGCACGTAGAAAACTTGCCTCGTAAGCTACGCACGTGTCTTGCGAAATCAACACATATTAGAGGTCCTATAGAATATGTCCACGTAGCTCTTAATTAGATAGTATATATAGAGGCAAGAGTGAAGCCTTCTTTAGTCTTATCAATTTCTTTTTTGCTTCTAGTCTAGATTTAAGAGACTCTAGTTTCATTCTTATTTTGCAATAGCCATTCCAGTTTCTTTTTAATATATATACTATTTTATTTCTATTTTGTCACTTTTCATTTTACTTAGATTTTTCAAGTTCATACATCTTCTTTCAGTTCATGTCCTTGACAAATTGACAAGAGTACACTTACAATATAAGAGCTTTGTCTTCTCTTCATTAGGAGTGAATTACACATTTTTTTTGATAAGATATAAGCATATCAGAAGTTGCTGATTACCCTCTTTTAAACTAATATTATTTTTAGTATCTTCTTTGTTCTCAAGTCCCTTCTTTTGCTTGTCTTGAGCAATATTAGACATTTATTTTTTAAATATTATTATATCAGAGCTAGTTGAAATGAAGAGTAAAATGACATAAATACAAAGTAATTGAAGGAATTAATGCTTGCAATGCATCAACTCAGTTTACCACTACAAGGAGCAACAAGAATGGCAGGAAGTGAAGATATAGATATGATTGGAGCTGCTTCAACATATGCATCCAATCATATCCCTTCTCCTATGGTAGAACATCCTTCCGATACTAGAGAATTAAGAGTTGCCTTGCTTGAGAAGTTTAATGGCACAAGATCTAAGTTTTGAGGATTTATCAATCAAGTAAAACTTGTGATTGAACTTCAACTCCAAAGCTATTCAACTCGAGGATCAAAAATTAGATTCATTTGTACACTTCTTTCAAGTTTAGCATTATGATGGTTTTCATCTTTTTTTAAATGACGAGATCTAATATTGAATAATTTAAAGGCTTTATTAGCTGAGATTTTATCCATGTATGGAGAACATGATGTAAGTCATGTTACAACCAACAAGATTCATATTTTGCAATAAAGTAATCAATCCGTAATATAATATGCTTCATAATTTTGATAACTTGCAACTGATATCAAGTGGATGATGCTGCACTAATTAGCCAATTTTTCTATAGATTATAATATGAGGTAAAGAAATTGATGCTCAACTTATTTGATCCTCAAACATTGAATCAAGCAATTGACTTTGTTGTGAAGTGTGACAATCGGCTTTTCAAATTTTGATCTGAGAGTTGGACAAGTGGGCTTCAATATTATTATAATTCAATAGAAACACCAATGCCTCCTCAACACATACATTCAAAAGTAGAGGATATGCAAATTGATGTGGTATGTTTCAAATCTCTTACTAAGTAAAAAAAGACTCATTGCCGTCAGGAAGGATTGTACTTATATTATGGTGAACCTAAGCACACTACTCAATATTGTCCAAAGAAGCGATGCAATTATAAAATGAGGAGTATAAATATCAAAGAAGATAATATATCAAAAAATGAGTTTGTCTACCTATAGTAGAAACCATGCGGCTAAAACTTTATACAATACCTAATGAAGGTCCTATTCTCTCTTCAAAATCCTCTTCTTATTTTATATTAAATATTATTTTAGGACCTATATATTACGAAGCCTCTGCCTTGTTAGATTCAAGAGCCTTAGCATTATTCTTAAATCAAGAATTAGCTAAAAGTAAGAAAAACTAAATTTGTTTATATAAAAATCATAGATGGTCGCCTATTGTCTTCTAGAGGTGTTACTTATGAAATCCTTTCCATAAAAGTAATGACTAATGGTCATAATAGCTTTGTGGTATTTAATATCATTAGATTTTTTTCTAATCCAATCATTTTAGGTTTATCTTGGTTATAAAAATACAACCCTCGAGAACATTGGATTTCTTGCACTCTTGACTTTTTTAAAAATATAACTAAGAATGTAGTTAATCAAATAAAAAAATACAAGTCTAATATAATTAATCCTAAGTTTATAGATGCAAGAGCTTTCTTGCATGCTGCAAAAGAAGGATCACCTTGTGTTATTTATGCCACACCCATTTCTAATGGTACAAAGACTTCAAGTAGTATTCCAAGCCAATATGAGGATTTTTAAGGTGTATTTGAAAAAAAGAATGTAAATATTCTTCGAGAACATCATTCCTATGATTGCTCTATTGACCTTCAAGAAAGAACACAATTGCCATTTGGACCAATCTACAATTTATTACAAAATGACTTAGCCAAATTCAAAGAGGATATTTAAGAAAATCTAGTCAAGAATATACGCCATTCCCAATCTCCAACAGGAGCTCCAATTCTATTTGTGAAGAAAAAAGATGGATCATTACGGATGTATGATTATCGAGGATTCAACAAGATCACCATCAAGAACATGTACCCACTACCTTTAATATTTGGACTTCTTGATCAGTTGAATTAAGTTAAGATCTATTCAAAAATAGATCTACAAAGAGCATACAATCTGATATACATCAAAGAAGGAGATGAATAGAAGACTGCATTTTAAATCAAGTATGGACATTTTGAATATAATGTCATGCCT